TTTGATTTAAAAACAAGAAGAAAAAAAAATGACACCAAGTGCAACATTTGCATCCAGTTGACAAAACATGTTAAGGAGTTTATCAGCATAACGCCCTGGCCCCAGCTTCCCAATAGCAGCTGTTGAAAGGATTATCTCTTATCTAGAGAGACCTGGAGTGCACAGTTCACCCCCGAGGCTCTGGGTTATTAGTGACCGTGGGCTGGCCCTGATCCAAGGCATCTGCAGCTGGAGTCGCAGCTGGACTTGAAGTGGAAGCATCGGGGTCTGGGGAGGTCCGGGCTGGTGTTGGAGAGGAATGGCTGGCTGCAGAGACACACACACAAAACAGGTGCTGAATACTCAAAACAGTGCATGCTGGACACACCCCCACAACTAGACCCTAGCAACTGAGAAGAGCCGCTTCTAGACAAGTGGCTCTGATGCAAACTAGACAGGCCACTTTGGACCCGTCCTCTAGGTTCTTTGGGCTTTGGTGTCCCCTTCTGTAAACCAGCAGGTTGGAATAGATGTGCAAAGATCTAAAATCTCTCACAGATCTGACGTCCTACAAACCTGTAAGCTCCTGCATTTATTCTGTGACTTACAGCTAAATATTTTGTTGTTGGTTTTGTTTTTTGTTTTTTTTTGGTGATTTGTGGCTTAGGAACCCCATGTGTTACAGAGTAGAATTGCTCCATAGGGTTTGCTCGAGTGTAATCTTTACAAAGGAGCCCTGGTGGCTTAGTTGTTAAGTGCTTGGCTGCTAACTGAAAGGTCGTCGGTTTGAACCCACCAGCTGCTCTGTAGGAGAAAGATATGGCAGTCTGCTTCAGTAAAGATTACAGCCTTGGAGACCCAATATGGCAGTTCTACCCTTTCCTATAGGGTTGCCATGAGTCGGAATTGACTTGATGGCTATAGGTTTGTTTTCTGTTTTTTTTTTGGTTTGGTTTAATCTTTAAAGAAGCAGATTGTCAGGGCTGTTTCTTGCACGGTGCAGCTAGGTGAGTTCAAACCACCAACCTTTTGGTTACCAGCTGAGCGCAAACCATTTGCACCACCCAGGGACCGACCAACTAAATATTTTAATTAAAAAACAAACAAACAAACAAAAAACCTCTTCTGATATATGAGCTGTGGTTATACTTTTTCTCCCCCTCAAGGTGTCGATGCAATGCAAGCCATGAATTTTACCAATCAACTGTACAAATGTATGGGTTTTATTCACATCCTTATTCCATTTAGATGATGCACCAGATTTGGTTTAAATTATTTTACTTAAATAAAGTGTGTAAAAGTTTGGAAAACATAATTATTACATTTAATTATCAATCTACCTTCTGTAACAAAGTCAAACTACGATACAATTCAGGGAGACTTGGAAATTTTTGTACTTTATGCCAGTTTTCAATTGGGGGTGATTTTGCCCCTCAGGGGACAGTTGGTGATGTCTGGAGAAATTTTTATTGTCACAGCTGTGTGGTGGGGGCAGGTGTTCTATTGATTAGAGGCCAGGGATGCTGCTAAATGTCCTACAATGTACAGGACAGCCCTAGAACCAAAGAATGATGCAGCCCTAAAGGTCAATAAATCCTGCTTTATGTATAGAGGCTGAGAGGTGTCCTGGTTAAGACTGTGGGCTCTGGAACCTGGATGTCCTGTCCCTTAGCAGTTGTGCGACCTTGAACAAGTTACCCACCTCCTTTTGCCTATAAAAAATGGGGGAAATGAAAGTATCTATATATCTCATTGAGTTGTTATATGCATTGAATGAGTTAATGTACTGAAATCCTTAGAAGAATGTCTGGTACTCACTGGTACTCCACAAATGTTAGTTATTACTACTAATGTCCTGGTTTACCATGGAAATGTGTTAAGATGTATTACTTTCTGGTGCATGGTACGCAGAGTCCCGTGATGAAAGAGTGTGTTTATTTCTGAGATGCCTGAAGTTCTCTTCTAGGCCCCAGGAGCCTATGAAAGGAGTTCTAGGTGGTCCAATTATTAACACGCTCGGCTGCTAACCAAAAGGTTGTAGATTCAAGTCTACCTAGAGGTGCCTTGGAAGAAAGGCCTAGCAATCTATTTCTGAAAAATCAACCATTGAAAACCCTAGGGAGCACAGTTCTACCCTGACACACATGGGATTGCCAGAAGTTGGAATCAACTCAACAACGACTGGTTTGGTTTGGAGCCTATGAAACAGCAGAGACTTGGAGGCATCCAACAGCTCTGACATTTACCATCTGGAGGATCTTGGGCAAGTTACTTAACTTCTCTGAGCTGTAGTTTCTTCACCTGTAAAATGGGATAGTAATTTGCACGGTTGTATGATGTACGGCTAGCACAGTGGCCTTACTTTGTGCAAAACAAGTGTTTGCCTTTCAGCAGTGATTTTAATTATACTCAGAAAAATTGTAGTCTTATAAAATTTTCAGTAGACGGTTTGATTTTTAAAGGTTCCCAAATATCCAATCTGAAATGTATTAACTTTAAGATGATGCTACCACATATTGACAATCTGACTTATAGATAAAACTCTTTAACAGATTCATCTCCAAGTACCTATGGTCATCTCCAAGGGGGTCATTTCAGGACATTCAGGAATGGGCCCCAAAGCCTCTGATCTTTCTGGATTCCTAAAGGAATTTTTCTTGGGGGCCCCTTCTGACACCAACAGAAGATCTTGTGGATTCAGAAGACTGTTCTGAAAGAATCGAACAGATGAAGTGTTTCTAAGGGCATTAAGCCATCAGGTAGCAGGAGTGTAACTGTGGCAGCTGATCTAAGCGTGGCAGGGAGCATGAGCCCCAGGGCTGCAATAAAAAGACCACTTTGCTGAAGTCAGGGGATCTGGTCCTGGGCAAGTCTCATTTGTCTGCCACTGACAAACAGGTGACCTTGGAGTAGACATTGAACGGCAGAAGTTTCTGTTCTAAAATGCTTGAGTCTTGTACACAGGCCTTGGTGTTGCAGGGCTTGGACTAGATAGTGTCCAAAACCCCTGTGGCTCTAAGATTTATCTTTCCAGTGGTTTCTGAGGAAGTTAATCAACTACTAAAAAATCCAAAAAACCAAACCCATTGCCGTCAAGTCGGTTCCGACTCATAGCGACCCTATAGGACAGAGTAGAACTGCCCCACACCGTTACCAAGGAGTGGCTGGTAGATCTGAACTGCTGACCTTTTTGGTTAGCAGCTGAACTCTTAACCACTCTGAGCCACCAGGGCTCCAATCAAGGACTAAGAGGCATGCATTTTTCCTTTTCAAGCCCAGGGAAGTGTTTAAATCACCACGGGAACAAGATAAATCAGCAATCAGTTTTCTGATTTAAAAAAAAAAAAAAAGTGCCAATGTGTAAACGTGGAAGGAATGCACAATTAGCATTGCCACAATTTAAATCTTCACATAAGAACATCATAAAAATGCTCGCTCTTTCTACCGGTTACTATCCATGTGAGAATTCTCCCCCTTCTGTCAGGGGGTTTGAAATCACTGGACAAGCCCACCACAGCCCACCATCTTTTTAAAGTGGCCTCTTCGTCTTTCTCACCTGGAATGCATGCTAATTTTACTACTGGACGAGAATCAAGGTAACCGAGAAAATAAGCATGCTGTTTAAAAATTATAAAGTACATTCCAGAACCAAACCAAAGTGGTTTTTGGATTACTTGCTGCTTGGTGGGGCCCTGGTGGCATGGCGGTTAGAAGCTATGGCGGTTAACCAAAAGGTTGGCAGTTCAAATGCACCAGCTGCTCCTTGAAAACCTGGGACCAATTTGACGGCAACAGGATTTGTTTGTGTGTGTGTGTGTGTGTGTGGTTTTTTTTTTTTTTTTGGTTTTGCTCTTTGGTGGACAATTTTCTGTACATTCATGAGAATAATCAAGAGCTGACCCTGAATGGTGTAGACCAGGGGTTGGTAACTCTAGTCCATGGGCCAAATGTAGCCTGCTGCCTATTTTTGTATGGCCCGTGAGCCAGGAATAGTTTTTATGTTTTTAAACAGTTCAACAAAAATCAAAAGAATAATATTTTGCAACATGTGAAAAATATATGAAATTTAAATTTTAGCGTGCAGAGAAAAGTTATGTTGGGAACCAGCCATGTCCATTTGTTTTTAATGTATTTTCTGTGGCTGCTTTTGTACCACAGTGGCAGCGTATAACAATCACAGATTATTTTCTAGGCTTTTTACAGAAAAAGGTTGCTGACCTCTGGTGAGGACCACCATAGGGAAAACATCTGCTTGCCAGCTGACCAGATGGAAGCATAAAAGAAAGAAGAATATGAGGGACTATATTGGGTTAGTACTGAGATGGAGCCCCTGGTGGTACAAATGGTTAAGCGCTCAGCTGCTAACCGAAAGATTGAAGGTTCGAGTCCACCAAGAGGTACCTAGGGAGAAAGGCCTGTTGATCTACTTCTCAAAATTCAGCCACTGAAAATCCTATGGAGCAGTACTACTCTGCAACATACAGGGTTGCCTTGAGTCAGAGTCAACTCGACGGCAACCGGTTTTAGTCCTGATACAGCACGTTTGGAAAAATGAGTTACAAAGATGAGAGAGACCGTGGAAATCATATGCTATAAATACGATCTAGCTTACTGTATTCAGGCCTCTTGATACAGGTATTAGGTATAAGATTCAAGTCACTTAAACATGTCTTTTTAGGAGGAGATACTGGCAGGATGCCTAGGGCAATGAGATAGGAAAAAAGTACAACCTCCCCATTAAATCTCTCTGATTTTAAGGCTACTGCTTTTTTCACAAACACCACTTTGTGACATTTTACTGTAATTCTGTAGAAACCTCATTAACTGGAAATGTAGAGGACAGAAAAAGAGTAGAACAAGGCTTAATCAATCTTGTTCATAGCATCTTACTCTTTTTAAAAGACCACTTGGCTAACCACTTAGCCAGAGAGGATGAGCTGGTTTAAATTATGAATGGTTTGAGCAGGCAGACATTGTTTAAAAGGTTACCTAGGGATACCTAGGAGCTGGTAGTTCTGCAGATCTCACTCTATACTGTGTATTCTATTTAGATGTAAAGTTTACATTAATACTAGTAAAGTAGGACTCTTGCTTTGAAATAGTCATTTCTATTTTTCTCTCTCTACTCTTCCCTTGGTCTCTCTCCCTTTGGGCAGCCAGCCAGGCTCCTTTCTTCTGGCCTTAGGGGAGGTTTTGTGGCAGGGTAGAAGTGGAGATGGCTCAAACACACTTTGCTTCCAGATTTTTGTTTTTCAAAAGCCTGAGTCCATTAAACCCATTATGCTTGGCACAACAGGGAGAGTGCTTTTAAGATGCAATGAGGCAGAGAAGGCAGCTTTTTGAAGCCTGGGAAACTGGCTGAGTCAGTCTGCTGGTTGCACCAGCATCCAAGCCCTCATCTTGCCACCTTCATCAAGATCCAAGAAGGGAGGATTCTGGAGAAGAAAAAAAAAAAAAAGGCCAATGGCGCTCAGCTTTGGCAAGGATGATTGGGCCCCCAGGTGATGCAGAAACTGCGAAGCCAATGGGCCTGGAGGGACAGAGTAAGCCTGGTGACTGTATGAGAGGTCTTAGTGCTCCCTACAGAATGGTGAAGCACTCGGATGCTAACCAAAAGGTTGGTAGCTCGAACCCACCCAGCAGCTCTGCAGGAGAAAAGACCTGGTGATCTGCTCGTGTAAAGATTACAGCCCAGAAAACTCTATGGGGCAGTTGTTATGAGTTGGACTGGACTCAACAGCACCTAACAACAGTGCTCCCTAAGACCCAAGGAACTTTGTACCACCCTGGGAGACATTTGTCCGAGCTGCCTGGTGGAATGCAGGCTAGAAGTAAAAAATGAGTTCACCTAAAATAAATAAAAGAGACATGCAGTACTTTTTTATACGCCTGCCTTGGAACTCTTACAAGACCAGTCAATATTTTTGTTTAAGTGCTTTAAAGAGAGTTTTATGCTTTAGAAAGAGTTTAATGGCATAGAATAGCACGCTAGGCTGTGAGAATTCTGTTTGTTACGTACCCAAACAAAACAAAACCAACCCATTGCCGTTGAGTTCATTCCAACTCATATCGAACTGCCCCATAGGGTTTCCAAGGCTGTAATCTTTACAGAAGCAGACTGCCACATCTTTCCCCCATGGAGCAGTTGGTGGGTTTGAACCACCAGCCTCTAGATTAGCAGCCCAGTGCTTAACCACTGGGCCCCCAGGGTGCCTTGTTTGTTACATAAACCAGGCTATTTAAGTGCAGGCACCACCTGGTGTCAGCATGCTTTAATTGCATGTAAAATGCCAGGGAGGACATCACTCCTTGGTTCCGCTGCTAACCAGAAGGTTGGCAGTTCAAATCCACCAGCCTCTCCTCGGGAACCCTGTGGGGGCAGTTCTACTCTGTTCTGTAGGATCACTATGAGTTGGAACCGACCCGATGGCAGTGGGCAAGCACCTTACATGGCATTATCTCATTCGGTTCTCTCAACTACAATCTGATATAGGTGTACTACTATTTCTGCTATTTTACAGAAGAGAAAACTGAGGCACAGATAGGACTTCTTCTTGCCCAAGGTCACACAGCTAGTGGCAGGACCAGAATCTTAGCAGTCTGACTCCAGAGCCTGTTCTGCTAGCTTTCTGAATGCAGGACAATTTAATGTGGCAAAATGCTGTGGAGTGTTGACTATATATCACAGAGCACATAAACTCAGGAGGTAAATGACAGTAATGGGTCTGTTTGGTTTTTTTAAAAATCATCCCACCCAGCACCCAATCAGAAGCTTCTTATTTCAAAATTATGTACAAATTTGCACTAATGTTGAGAACATTAAAAATGTGAAAATAATTTACTATATATTTTAACTCTTAACATTAGCTCTAACAAGGCTGGGAGACACCAGTGAGTGTCGCTGGGGTGGGGGCACATTTGGAAATGTGTGGAGACTTTTTTTTTTTTTTTTAAAGTCTCAGCCCTCATTACTAAATGTGTCGTCTACAGAACAGCAGCATGGACACCACCCAGGAAGTTTTTTAGAAATGCCAGACCTCAAACTCTACCCCAGACCTACAGAATCCAAATCTGCATTTAACAAGACACCTGAGTGATTCATGTGCACATTAAAGTTGAGAAGCAATGGGCTAGAATTTACCTATTGTAATATATATGATTTTATTGTAATTGGTTTCTTTTGACTTCTCTTCCACATTGCTATTAGGGTCTTCTATTGATTTTAAACATATGTGAGTAGGTAGATAAAATATCTATAAATTTCATTTCAGAGAAGTAAAAAATGCATGATAACATATTTCTTATATGAAGGGCAAGGGTCTGAGAGAGATGATAACCACTGTTTTAAGGTATTGTGATTCCGAAAAAAAGTTTGAAATTCTGCAGCCTTGCATTTCTGCTTGGCCTTTACTTTGTGATTTGGGGCAGGTCAGTTCACCTGTCTGGCCTCAATTTCCTGATCTGTAAAACGAAGGGCATAGAATTTAATTATTTTTAAGATCCCATCCAGATTAGCCTTCTCTGGTAAGAGGGAAGGAGGTATGTTCAGGAAGAAGCGAGAGAAAGAGTTTCTAAAAACAAAACAAAACAAAAAAAATGTGTGTAAAAGGAAAGAGAACATAGGGAAAAAGGACAAAGGCAGGGAAAAATATACAAAGGACAGAAGGGACAGGGCGAAAAGAATGTGGAGGGATGGACAATGAAGCTGTGAAGAAAGGAAAAAGATGCAAGTTTTGATAGAATCCATTCTATCAGCCCATGAATTTTCATGGCTACCAGCTGGCATAAAATCATAAAGACAATTTCCAGCTCCTCTAACAGAATTGCATTTGTAATAGTCATAACAATATTTCTACAGAGTAAAAAATGACAAAGATAATTTGAAATGGAAAACACTGACAAGATGCAAAATAAATGTGCTAAACCTGGCAACAAATTTAGGGATGGACTGAATTTGCATGAGGAAAATTTATAAGCCCACTGACTATGAGGCATCAACCTGGAGGGGCTTTTTGATGGTTGCTTGTTAACTCCTCAGGTAAATCGGAGGAAATGATCCCATATGAGCTTCTCTCAACAGTGACTCCCATCATCCATCGAATCCTCAGTGAAACTCATTGGTCTCACTTTTCATTATCTGCTACACAAATAACGGCTGTGTTAATTCTTAAATGGCATGTGAAGCCCTAATTTATCCATTTGTAAATGTCTCTGAAGGTCTTCTTGAGTTATTATGTCCTCTTGTAGACATGCAAGTTGGTAGAAAATGATACTTTTCCACAGAGAGATGTTTGTGAATTTGAATACCTAAGTGTGAGATATCATATGTGACGGGACTAATGCCTTCCTCTAACTCAGCTTATGGTCTTAATGTAAGTTTAGAACAAAAGCTTAAACATAATAAAACAAAACAAACAAAAAAGCAAACCCATTGCCGTTGAGTCAATTCCGGCTCACAGCAGCCCCATACCATGGGGTAGAACTGTCCCACACGGTTTCCAAGGAGCGGCTGGTGGATTCAAACTGCGGACCTTTTGGTTTGTAGCTGTAGCTCTTAACCACTACACCACCAAGGCTCCCTTGCATTGGGTAGGAATTGAACCTGGGTCTCCTGCATAGAAGGTGATAATTCTACCACTGAACCAGCACTGCCACTAAACTTAATAGCTATAAATAAAGATAAACATAATTGTTATTGTTGGCTGCGGCCGAATCCATTCCAATTCATAGTGACCTCATGTGACAGAGTAGAACTGCCCCATAGGGGTTTCTTGGCTGTTATCTTTACAGGAGGAGATCACCAGGTCTTTCTCTCAGGGAGCCACTGAGTGGGTTTGAACTACCAACCTTTTGGTTAGCAGCTGAGCACTTAACCATTGTACCACCAGGGTTTCCTAAGCTTAAACATAATAGCTATAAATAAAGATAAACACAATAGTTAACATTTGTTGAAAGGGTTTTAAATGACAAATTAATAGCTAACATTTAACTACAATAGTCACTGTGGTGTCTTATATGCATTTTTTTTTTTTTCATGTAACCCTCCTGACATCCCTGGGAAGTAGTTACTATTATAACTGCATTCAATTGATGAGAAGTTCGGGAATCAGGAAGGTTAAATAACTTGCCTTAAGTCACATAGCTAATGAGTAGCTAAGCCCAAACAGAATTGAGTGGGACACCCATCTCCTTAACTACGGCACTACCCTAGCTCAGAAAAACAACAGTGATCAGTACAAACTGCACTGGGCTAAATACTTACTTCATATTCCTCCTTGGCTCCTCTCTCTGGCTGGGTTATTCATTATCAATGCTTGCTTATCCTCCCACATGTGATTGCTTGACTTGGGTAAACTGGGAAGACTTCATGGGGGAGGAGGCCATGGAGCTGGGTTTTATGCTGCTAACCAAAAGGTTGGCAGTTCGAATCCACCAGCCACTCCTTGGAAACTCTATGGGGCAGTTCTACTCTGTCCTATAAGGTGGCTATGAGTCTGAATTGACTCAATGGTAACTTTTTTTTTTTTTTTTTTTGGTTTAGTAACCAGTTGCTATCAAGTCAGCTCTGACTCACGGCAACCCCATGTGTCAGAGTAGAACTGCACTCCGTAGGATTTTCAATGGCTGATTACCATTGAAGTAGATTGCCAGGCTTTTCTTCCAAGTTGCTTCTGGGTAGACTGGAACCTCCAACCTTAGGTTTAGCAGCTGAGCATTTGCATCACCCAGGGACTCCATGAAGGCACATGTAGGTTGAATGTTGACAAAGGATATATTTACAAAATAACTTATAAGATAATTTATAAGATATAACAATTTATAAGACAATTCAAAAATGGTCGCAACAGTACACTGACAGGGAATGGCCAGGAATTCAAGCCAGGTTCAGAAGAGGACATGGAAGGAGGGATATCATTGCTGATGTCAGATGGATACTGGCTGAAAGCAGAGAATACCAGAAAGATATTTACCTGTGTTTTATTGACTATGCAAAGCATTAGACTGTGTGGATCATAACAAATTAAGGATAACAATTGTGAAAAATGGGAATTCCAGAACACTTAATCATGCTCGTGGGGAACCTGCAAGCAGATCAAGAGGCAGTTGTTTGAACAGAAAAAGGGGCTATTGTGTAGTTTAATATCAGAAAAGGGGTATGTCAGGGTTGTATCTTTTCACTATACTTATTCAATCTGTATGCTGCACATGTAATCCAAGAAGCTGGACTATATGAAGAAGATTGTGGCATCAGGATTGGAGGAAGACTTGTTAACAACCTGCAGTATGCAGATGACACAACCTTGCTTGCTGAAAGCAAAGAGGACTTGAAGCACTTACTGATGAAGATCAAAGTCCACAGCCTTCAGTGTGGATTACACCTCAACATAACCCCACTGCCATCGAATCAATTCCAACTCATAGCGACCCTGTAGGACAGAGTAGAACTGCCCCATAGGGTTTCCAAGGAGTAGCTGGTGGATTAGAACTGCCAAACTTTTGATTAGCTGCTGAGCTCTTAACCACTGCACCACCAGGGCACACCTCAACATAAAGAAAACAAAAATCCTCACAACTGGATTAATAAGCAACATCATGATAAATGGAGAAAAGATTGATGTTGTCAAGGATTTCATTTTACTTGGATCCACAATCAACGCCCATGGAAGCAGTAGTCAAGAAATTAAATGAAGTATTTCACTGGGCAAATCTGCTGCAAAAGACCTCTTTTAAAGTACTAAAAAGCAAAGATGTCACTATAAGGACTAAGGTGCACCTGACCCAAGCCATGATATTTTCAATCGCTGCATATGTGTGTAAAAGCTGGACAATGAATAAGAAAGCCCAAAGAAGAATTGATGCCTTTGAATTATAGTGTTGGCAAAGAATATTGAATACACCATGGACTGTCAGAAGAATGAACAAATCTATCTTGGAAGAAGTACAGCCAGAGAGCTCAGAAGTGAGGATGGTGAAACTTCTTCTCACACATACTTTGGACATGTTATCAGGAGGGACCAGTCCCTGGAGAAGGACATCATGGTTGGTAAAGTAGAGGGTCAGTGAAAAAGAGGAAGACCCCCAATGAGATGGATTGACACAGTGGCTGCAACGATGGGCTCAAGCATAGCAACAATTGTTAGTATGCTGCAGGACCAGGCAGTGTTTTGTTCTGTTGTACACAGTGTTGCTATGAGTTGGAATCAGCTCGACGGCCCCTAACAGCAACAGTATTTTCAATGGGAGAAAACATTTTAGGTCCATTTCTTAGACTTTTTTTTTTTTTAAATCTCATGCTCACTTGGAAAAATACAATAATTTTGTGGCCTCCTACCAGCCAGAGATTATAATACAGCCCTAGGGGGAAATCCACCCTCACCCTCTGAAAGACCCTCCCAAGAAAGGAAATAACACCATCCAGGGCTCTAGGAGGGAGAGTACAGTAAAATCCGAGAAAGCCGGAGCCTGTATAAGGTGGCAACCTATCACAGAAGGAAAAATCAAATATTTTCCACTGATAGCAACAGAAAAGTGGTAAGACCGCACGCTGTCAAAGGCAGAAAACTTTCAAGACCTGGAAGAACAAGGCAGTCCCTTTCAGTTCCAACTCTGACAGGTTTCACTGTATAATATTTCTGGTGGGATTAAAAAAAAGAATCTCTACTGTTTTCTATTGCCTTTGCCTTTTATAAATCTTTACCTGAGACAGACTGGAAATACTGCACAGTCCAGGCGATCAATACGGACAGGAGGAAGGTCCCCAGAAAGTAGATCTGCAAACATCCGAAGCAGGCATCAGATGACTGACAAAGGGCAGGGACCAGGAGGGCAGGGCTAGGGGGAGACAATACCTACCAGGGCAGAGTGCAGGAGGGCACCCCAGACAAGCCGCAAGTGAAGGTAAAGCCAGGCCAGGGAGCAGGGGCTGAAGGACTCCTCGTTACTGTGGCTCCAGCACCTTCAAACAAAGCACAGGGCATCCTGATGTTTAGGCTAAATGGGATGGCGTTACTCATGACTGACATTTTCAGCTCCTCAAACCCACATCCTTCTGCTTTTGGACAATAGAACATACCTGAGGTGAGAAGCAAATAAATAAAGCCAGTTCTAAGCAGTTTGGGCTCAAGCTGAAGTCCTAGGATCCTGGCAGAAATCTCAGAAAAAGGTGAGTCCTTTTCTTAACTAGGAGCCTAGGTGGCCCAAGTGGATTGTGATTGGCTGCAAACCAAAAGGTTGGTAGTTTGAACCCTCTCAGCCGCTAGGTGGAAGAAAGGCCTGGTGACTTGCTTCTGTAAAGAACACAGCTAAGAAAACCCTATGGAGCAGTTCTACTCTGTAACATATGGTGGTGCCATGAGTGAAAATCAACTCAATGGCAATGGGCTGTTCTCCTTAGCTAAAACGTCAACAGTTCTGATACACACCGCAACATGGATAAACTTTGAAAACAGTATGCTGAGTGAAAGGACAACTATTGTTTGATCTCATTAATAAAAAAATACCAAGAAAAAGTAAATGTACAAAAATAAGAGTTTGATAGTGGTTACCAGGAATGAGAAGGAGGGGGAAAGAGGGAATTATTATTTAAGGAGCACTGAGTTTCTGTTTATGGTGATGGAAAATTTGGCAACCAATATTGATGATGGTTGCACAGCCTGATTGATTGATATCATCAGTCTCCCTGAATTGGACATGTGAAAAATGTTGACTTGGCCAATATTGTGTTATTTATTACAACAACAATAATAATAATAAAAAATCAATAGGTCATGGAGGTCCCCCTGAAGCATGGCGGCTGCCAGAGCAGTGTTTCTGTCCCTGCATCTGTCCAAAGTCCAGATGCAGGAAGACCTAACTCCCTATCTTTCAGAAAAACATAGTCTAATCCTACATGTTATTTTTTCCATTCTTGCGGAAAAACGTAGTCAGCACTTTAACTTCAGAACAAGCATGCTGTATCTTAAGCCTCAGATACTAGAAAAGGGAAATCAATATGGGTCTGGCTGAGTGTCCTTTAATAGAAGCAAATCCTCTGGCGTTTTTATAACAACAGGCATTGTAAAATAAGGGTGAGGTTAACTTTAACCAAGAAACAAATACAGCCCTCTTCGATTCCCTCAGATTTCACAACACAGGAGGCTATGAACTTACCTTTCGTACAGCTCCCGGAGAATGGAGAAATTACTAGAATATATGGTTGAGTCAATTTCCAAGAAATCCAAAATATGGTGTGGGATTATAGCACCTTCCTCAATTAGCAGGGCCAGGTTAAAAAATCCCTAAAAACAAGCCACAGACCAAACTCATCAATTCCTCATGATAAAACCCAGACACACACCCTTCATCCAATGTAAACTTTTACAACCTCTATATATTTTTTTTCAGTCCCTAGAGCCAGATGGTTTTGTCATTTTCATTGATGAATTGTTTCCCTAAATATATGCATCTGAGAAATTTATTTGCAGGAGAACCAAGAGGCTTTCAGAAGATGCTGTGTCCCATCTGCTCAGAAGCCACTGAACCGGGGATCTGTCCTCTCCTGCTCGCTCTCAAAATAGAACTCTCTGGAAAACGTGCCCCTGGTATCAGCAACAAACCAGAATGCTGAGGCATAGAAATGCCCATCACTCACAGACTATGCTCTAGGTCGCCAGCAGCATGCTGGAGACCTCACTTGATGTTTTTGTAGCTAGGGGGTGAGTGAGCATTGTAATATAGTATCTCCCTTATTTACAGAACAACGTATAGGCATTTGTCTCAGCTTCCCTGTGGCAATGTGGAAAACTTCCTCTCACGATTCTACTTCGCACAGATCTCCACTCTGGTATGTTTCCTTGAAAGAGCGTTGGTGGTTCAGTGGTAGAATTCTCACTGCCTGTGTGGGAGACCCAGGTTTGATTACCGGACGATACACCTCATGCACAGCTCCCACCCATCTGTCAGTGGAGGCTTGGGTGTTGCTATGATGCTGAATAGGATTCAGCAGAGCTTCCAGACTAAGACGGGCTAGGAAGAAAGGTCTGGTGATGTACTTCTGAAAGATCAGCCAATGAAAACCCTATGGATCACAATGGTCTGATCCGAAACCCATCATGGGGATGACAGGATGTTTTTCAAGGGGTTGCCGTGAGTTGGGGGACGACTTGATGGCAGCTAACAGCGTGTTACAGTACCTTCTCCTTATACACCTTGTTCTTGGTACTCAGAAGTAGGACCTGCCTTATAGGGCTCTGAGGATTCAATAAAACAATATAATTTAAGAACCTAACCATACAGATGCTTCATAAAGGATGGATATTATTATACTACATAGGAGACGTACACTCTCCGTCATGAACTGAATATTTGGCCAGACCAAGAAACAGGCAAAAAAACTCGATGTCTTACTTACATTCAAAGAATCCATGGTCATGATTTAATGACTTATATCCTCCCTCTGACCTTTCCTTTCAATTACCACTGACAACAATCTAAATGAGAATCACCATCCACTGGGTTGTACACCATCCAACACAGGTTGAATCTCACACCATTCTTTGCAACAACCGTGATAAGATAACAGTGACTAACATTTTCTGAGTGCTTGCTATATGCTAGGCATTGAAGAGGTGCAAACGGTTTACACTCTACTACTAACCTAAAGGTTGGTGGTTCCAACTCACCCAGCAGTACTGTGGAAGAAAGGCTGAGCAATCTTCCTCCATTATGATTACAGAAAACCCTATGGAGCCATTCTACCCTGTAACACACGGGACCTCCGTGAGTCGGAATTGACTCGATGGCGACGGTTATGTTTCTTTTTGGGTTCTGCTTTACATATATTCATTTAATTCTCATAACAACAAAAGGAGAATAGGTACTCTTATCCTCCCCATTTTACAGGTGAGGAAACTAAGATGCAAAGAGGTTAAGAAACTTGCCCAAGGTCACCCAACTTGAAAGTGGCAGAGCTAGGATTCAAACATAAGCAGACAGGGCCCAGGGTCTCAACTCTTAACTTCCACTATGCTGCCAAATAACCTCAAAATAGATTAAAGTATTAAGTACCTTTAAGATGCACACGCACACACACATAACAGCAGAAAAAATAGAATAGACTATTTCTCCACTCTTCCAAAGGAAAGTACTCTTAAAACTTGAGGCATTAGAAGAAAGGAAAAAACAAAATGACTTTATAAAAATTTGAAGTCTCTGATCAATGGACAAATAACAAGATTAAAATAAAAGGGAAGATACTAGAGAAATATTTGTAGGAAATGTAATAGCATAAGGTTCAATACCTACGGGGCAAATTTATTTAAAAAAAAAAAAAACTACTTAGGTTTTAAATTTAAAAGACGTATACAAACTCCACTAGAAAAATGGACACAGAATTATAGAAAATTCACATAAAAGAAAATACAAAAAATAAAATGTCATAAACAAGTATCAGAGTGTCTAGCCTTACTAGTAATCAAATAAATGCAATTTAAAACAGTAAGTATCAAGTTATAGTTATTCTATTAACAATATTAAATCATAAAAACATCCAGTGCTAAGAAGATTTCAGTCACCCTTTATAATTATCCACTGCTTGGTGACATATTATTTGGAAAACACTTTAAGAAGGCAAAATGAAAAGTATGTTATTATGTAGCCATAAATCTATTTAGACTGTTTGACCCAGGAACAATGTCCCTCAGATTATAAGAAAATTTTTCAAACAAAGAACAAAGATAGAAATATAAAGATGTTTATGGTAGCATTATCTATAATTGCAGCAAAATAGAAGACAACTTCCAAGCCTTGCTTGATAGACGATAAGCCCCATGAAGGCAAGAATATTGTCCATCTTTTTATCTTATGTCCCCACCACTAAGCAGTGTCTAAAACATGGTAGGATTGAATAAATACGTGTTCAATCAACGAATAAATTAGCAAATGAAGAACTAAATGCTGACCAACTAGTAAAGTTCAATTACAGTACATTAGCTAAACAGAATATGCAGCAGTCATTAAGGGTAATAATTAAAGAGATTACGTAATAAAATGCACACAGTCCTACAATATGTGAGAAGAGACGAATTTTAAAAGAAGCATACATATTATAGTTTATATTCCAAAAAATCAGTTGCTGTTGGGTCAACTCCCACTCACAGAGACCCCATGTGTGTCAGAGTAGAACTGTGCTCCACAGGATTTTCAACAGCTGATTTTTCAGCAGTAGATCTCCAGGCCTATCTTGTGAGGTGCCTCTCCGTGGGCGCAAATCTCCAACCTTACAGTTAGCAGCCCAGTGCACTAACCATTTGTACCACCCAGGAACTCCTCAGTTTACTTTACAGAGATACATCTGCCTGTGGGCAGCGACTAGAAGAGAAGTTGATGACATTAAGGAATACAAATCTCTGTTATGGAATGGTGGCTGCATTCTTTTTTTTTTTTTTCTTTTAAAATTGTCCCTTAATGTTTTTATTACATTATAAAAATATAAAATATAAAAACCGGAATTGAGAAATATAAAAATCTGAATTGAAAAAGAAATGGTCCAGGACTAATTCTGAATGACAAGATATATCTTCTATTGGAATTTGGCTCTACAGTAAATCCGTTTAGCACCAAGTCCTCTTTTACTCCAGAAGAAATAGTAATACAATAGATCATGTCCATTGAGTGTCCTGGCGCTGGGCTCAGATGTTACACCAAACATAGGTGTATGTGTTATCCTCACAACCTATGAGGTCACTGCTATTATTATCCCCAGTTTGCAGATGAGAAAACTGAGACTCGAGATTAAGTGACTTGCGCATGTACAAATAGCTATGAAATGGCAGAGATGTGGGATTTTAACCAATGTAAATAACCACTCTGATGTACTTACTTAAACAAACAAACAAAACAGAGGTAGGATGAGCTTCAATTTCACCTCATGATCAGATCCCAAATTACCACACCAGAAAGCATTGTATAAGAGGGTAACTATTCCACCTTCCAGCATGAAAATGACCCCGAGACCCTCTTGGGAGAATTACAAGTAATAAACGCAGAAGAAATGGGGAAATAGAGAATCACACTAGGATACCACGATAATAATTGTTGCAGGCAAGATGTGCTGAAGGATACTACTGTTAGTGGGCAAAGGTTTGAGGAGAAACAGAGCACAGTCATGGTCACAAAATGTCTCCCCAAGATACCTATAAGATACAAAGAGAAATGACCTCAACCAAGTGATTTAGATTAACCTCATTAGTAATAAAATATATTGACATCATGTACCCCAAAATACACTGAGAAAGACACATCATTTTTGTGCTTTCCTTCCCCAGAATGCATAACCTCAATCTACTCATAAGAAAACAGCAGATAGACCCAGATTGAGGGATATTCTACAAAACATCCGACCAGTCCCCTTCAAAAGTATCAAGGTCATGAAAGACAAGGAAAGACTGAAAAACTGTCACAGATTGGAGGAGACTAAGGAAATACGGAAACTAAATGAAATATGAGATCCTAGCTTGGATCCTGGCACAGAAAATGTACATTAGTGGAAGAAACGGTGAAGTCTGGAAACAGTCTGAACAGTCCCAATGTTGATTTCTTAGTTTGATAATGGCGGTGTGGTTATGCAAGATGTTAACATTAGGGGAAGCTAGATAAAAGGTATATAGGAACTCTCTGTACTATTTTTGCAACTTGTCTTATAAATCTCAATTATTTCAAAATAAAAAAGCTTAGAAAAATATCACTAAGAGAAATGTCCTATCACTGACATATTGGCCCAACGGTACAAGGAAACCACTTCCTACTGTGGCTACGTTTCTAATCTCTTGAGCTTCTGCTTGGTGAGTTAGTTTGATGGAATTTGATACAAAATCCATGGGCTTGGGCCCCAGAAGACCCAGGTTTGGGCTCCAATTATCTGGCTTTGAGCATCACCTTATAGTCTTGGCTTCCTCAACTATAAAATGGGTATAATAATCCCTGTGAGAATGATGTGTGGAGCCCAGTACAGCCCAGTAAGTGGGCTCGCCATTACGGTTAGTGTTGTCATAGAGTGTTGTGAGGGTCCTGTGACGATGGATAAGAGATGACTTTGTAGACTGTGAAACATATGTAGATGGGAGGGCTTGTTAGGACCTTGCAACCTCACAAATGGGCATCGCCAAGAGCCTTTGTGGTGGTGTTGTTTACCTGGGAGTCTCCATCCAGTGCTGCTTGGGCATACATCTGCACAGACAACTCTAGGTCTTGTGACTGGTTTTGGTGGCCATAGTAGTAAAGGTCTCCCATTTTCAAATACGCTGCAGGAGAAAAAGCACAGGTCCATTTATCAAGTGGCTTTATTTCAGACCGACATTTTAAATTATTGGCCCATGTGCATGACTGAGAGTTTTTCCTAACAGTCTCTGAACACAGAACGTTTTTATGTTTCAGAAAAGGCTTTTGCCCTGAGCACCCCATTTCTCGACACGTTTTCCAGTTGGGTAGGTCTCCTAAATGGGTCTGTTGGTGAGGATCTCAGTGTACAACCCCACAGCCCAATCAGCTGAGGTTATTTATGGCACTTTACTTCACATCTGAAATTTTGCTGCCCATGTTTGATGTCTCCGGTAAGTATTTCTTTACTCTGCTTGAGCCATGTATTTATTTTTTCCTCTGAGGAAAAATTTATGTTTAAGAATCAACGTTTCAAGAGTCCCTGTGTATACAAGAGTTGAGGTGCTCAGTTGCTAACTGAAAGGTTGGTGGTTCAAGTCCACCCAGAGGCAACTCAGAAGAAAAGCCTGGCAATCTGTTTCCAAAACATCAGCCACTGAAAACCCTGTGGAGCACAGTTCTACTCTGACACACACAGGGGCCCCATGAGTCAAAACTGACTCAATGACAACTGTTTTACTGGTATCAGTCAATGTCCTACCAAGAAAACAGAATCCATGTCAAGTAGTTCAAAAGAGGGCAGGTTACCAGAGTGTTGGAAGAGCTGAAAAGGCAAATGGGAAACAGCAGGCCACCCAGAGATCAGCAATGCAGGAAGTTACTACCACCCCTAGGGCTGTGGAGAAGGAGGGGTAGAGGGTAGTCATGATGTCACCAGAGCTGGGAGTCTGGGGGAAGCCAAGATCACAGAGCGTGGAGTTGCACGCAGGGCTGGAATCATTCCCCTCCTACCCTGCAATCTCCTGCCCTTGCCTCCCACGCCGGAAACTAACCAGAAGCCCATAGTCTGCGAACTGTAGTTCCTGAGTGTCAGCCCCCTCCCATATAAAGCAGAGCAGAGGAAGGCAGGGAATGCATCTGAGGGCAAAAGGGCAAGTGACTGGCCCAGGAAATCTCTTCATAGTAGCTCTCTCTTTTGAATTCTCACTTACTCTGCGGAAATGTTGGGTCCAAACATAGAAGAGATGACGAGGAGTGCATTGTGTGAGGCTGAGTGCAGAGTTTTAACCATGATCTTAAGAGCAGAGATTTTTAACTCTCTTTCCTAATTGTTCAGAAATATCACACTTCACACAAAGCTGTAAGATGTTCCCTGTTACCAAAGATGACAAGCCTCCCGTGCTTCAATTTCGCACCTGTTTTTCTATACATACCAAATGAAGGAGCATCGATTTGAAAAACAGAGAAATTATAGTATCGCCAAACACAGTTAACACCCAGGTATCTCCTGGCCAGGTCCTAAGGGGGCAAAAGGTGAAGAAAAGTTAATTCATTATTATTTTGGCCAAGGGATGAATTTTATCTCCATAAAACCCAATTCATTATCCTTAATCTTCGAGCTTCTACTTGGAGAAATTACACGTTTACTTACTGGCCTCTCCTCACAGATGTGTGCTAAATTTGTCTGTGACACTTCAATTCCAGTTTCTGCTGCTAAAACATAATACAGCAAAGCTTCGTGCCTAAAAATAGATGATTAATAATAAATTTCATATAGTGGCTCTTACTAATATTCGCAGAGAGCTTTATATTCAAACACAAGAGGGCACAAAATAAGCAATTTTTTAAAAAGCCACAAATTCATGATTTTTTTTTTTTTTTTTTAAATAAATACTCTTGTAAAAATACTGCAGGCACTGATTTATTTTCTATCTTAAAGGCTGAACTCACAGATAAGGTTGGGGAGCTAGTTGATGCAACAGCTACCTCTACTGGCTGAATGGTGTATTGGATGCTGGCTGGGAGGTGGCTATTACTCTGCTTCTTGAATACTTCACCATCCTTGCTTAGAAGGGGCTAAGTGGTATTAAGAAAAACACCCTGCGCATTAGAGCCCTCTGTCTTGTGAAAGGTTTTATGGGGCTTAGGATTTTGAGCAAGCTCAATTAAAGCTGAGCTTTTCGAGTGCATTAGAAATTTGGCGGAGGAGAGGCAGTTTATAAGGGGCTTGATACAAATAGCTAAAAAAGATGCAAAAGAGAAATATTTGACATTTATTTATTTATGAAAAAAGTAAATGCTTAACAACAATAGTAACTGAATTGTTGCAAAACACTGAGAGACTGCTTTTCATCTGTTGAGAGACTGGCGAAAGATTGACATTGAGGAGTGCTGGCAAGGGTTTGGAGAGCTGGACCTGCTCCAACCAGCATTGCTAGAGGGAGAGCCAGTGAACGCCATGGTTCCAGAGAACAACTGGCCAGAGCCATGTCAGCAGTCCTACGCATGCACACACCATTTGACCCAATAATTCTCCCTTGTGGGGGTTTATTCTAAAGAACAATCAGAGACTTGGGCAAGGATTCCATTGCCCCGGAGTTCACGGAAGAGCTGTGGATATGAACAAAAGGTTGGAAACAACTTTAATATCTGAAAATCAGTGACTAGTTAAATTAGCTTGTGGTGCAGCCACTTTCAGGTATGGCCATTAAAAATGATGTTGTGGCAGAGTATTCAAAAACATACAAGGATGTTTATGCAAAAATTTCCATTCAGTGAAAAAAAAAAAAACAGGTTATAAAGCAGTGCAATCCCATTTTTGTAAAGATAAAATGCAATACACAAACACATGTACAAATAAATAGATGCAGGAAAAAAAAAAAACAAACTCAAAAAATTATCTACCAAAATGTTAACAGTGTTTATCTCTGGGTGGTGGGAATGCAAGTAATTTTTTTCTTCTTCTTTGTACCTTTTCTGATTTCTTAAATTCTCTATGTGTTATTCAGATTATGGGTAAAAATGGATTTCAACTATAAATAGTTGTTTCTAAAGCTTATTTTTCACTTTAAGTCGTTAATCTTAATAATTCTTTCTCACTTTTAGTCCCATTAAGAAACTAGTTTAGGGAAGGGTCCAGGAAGGCTGGGTAAGAAGATTCTGAAATCATCTTTTTCAACTGCTAAAGGCAGCTTCTGTCAGAGCAAAGAGACAAAGAGAGGCGCTTGGGGGTCAAATTGGGACAGTCAGAGTTTCAGCCAGGCATGCCTGCTGAGTGAGCTGATTCTTGGCCTTCCAGATACCTGAGGCAGCTGACCAATTAGACATGACTCATGCTAAAGAGAGATGAGGCCGGCTAAGCAGTGTCTCAAATAGACAACAGTAGTAGCCGCAACCACACAAAAGATGCCTACCAGTTTTCCCACATAGCATAAAAAAAGAAGTTTGCTGCAAGAAGCCTCAGCACAGACCCAAGACTCCCAGACAGAGGCCATGAAAGAGAGGCCAGCAGAAAGTCCCCATCATTCTGCAGTATGGTTCCATTCCAAAAGTGTTATCATCTCAAGTTTCTTCAGAGACACTTAGGCTTACATCACTAGCTCAGTTTCCCCCAGAGATGAATGAAGGAGGAGGTGGTATAGACCACCTTTCAGGACATACCACCCAAGGTCACTGGAATGTGGCTCATGTTATTAAAATATAATAAAATGAGTTTTTCCTGGGCAGCAGAAAGCTAGTAGGACTGGTTGTTAGAATTTGGGGATTCCATGTGGTTTATACTCCTGGTAAGAATAGAGTCAATATGATAAATTCTATAAATACAATATCTTGTCTCTAAAGTTACCTTGATGGTGGGGGAAGGAAGGGAGAAACAACCTTATATAAGACTTCTATTGTCCAATTATTGTATAAACCGGGAAGAAATCGCATAGAATTCTCAAGTGTTTACTTTGAGGAAGCACTGAAATCCATCAAAAAAAGATGTTGAAAAACATTGACGTCAACCAGAGTACTGAATAGAAATCCACCACCATCTTCCATTTTGTGGAACCAGTCATCAGATGCCCGGGCACTCTTGATGCCACCAGCATCCACTTTCAGATACTGAAGAGGTGAACCACGGGGTGGGATTAGAACACTCAACACCAGACTTTCTCAGCTCATTAAAACTTCTGTGACACGATGCCCACTAAGCCTCCCAGCAGCTTTGCTATTACTTAATTGTTTCAACAGAGACCATATGAAAGTGTGTATTAATTACAGATATTTCTATACTTACATTCATGGAACAAGCATTTACTGAGTACTTGCTATGTGCAAGAAGCTCAAAGACAAGCCACAAAACTGTACCTTTCCATGAATTTCCTCAAGGTTTAGGAAGCAGACCAGAGCTTCGAGCTTTATTTCCAATGCACTAACCCTGGGTTCACATTCCAGGACAGTGGAAGCTTGTGTGTTGCTATGAAGCTGAACAGGTTTCAGTAGAGCTTCCAGACCAAGACAGACTAGGATTTGGACAATGACTGTTCCAAGACAATCATTCTTGTGTCTTGGAAGTTCTGGAAGGGAGAGGACTTAAGAAATATTTTAGGGCACAAACAGTTAAGCGCTCGGCGACTAACTGAAAGGTTGGTGGTTCGAATTTACCCAGAGGCACCTTGGAAGAAAAGACTGGTGATCTACTTCTGTAAGAACATAGCCACTGAGAACCCTACGCAGCACAGTTCTACTCTGACACACATGGGGTTGCCATGAGTTGGAATCAACTTGATGCCAACTGATTTAGTTTTTAAAGGGGAATTGTGGGACATTGATGGCTCAGTGGTAGAATTCTTGCCTTCCATGTGGGAGACCCAGGTTCAATTCCTGGCCAATACCCCTCATGCACAGCTACCACCCATCTGACAGTGGAGGATTGTGTGTTGCTATGATGCTGAACAGTTTTCAGTGGAGTTTCCAGATTAAGACAGACTAGGAAGAAAGGCCTGGTGAGCTACTTCCAAAACTCAGCCAATGAAAACCCTGTGGATCACAATGGTCTGGTCCACAATCAATCATAAGGATGGAATGGTACCGGGCAGTGTTCTGTTCTGTTGTGCACGGGGTCACCATAAGTCAGGGGACAACTTGATGGCAGCTAATAATAACAAAGCAAAATTGTTCCAAGACAGTTATTCTGCTGGAAATAGGTCAGGGTTGTGGAGAGGAGGGGACTTAGAGAAAAGAAATAGTTTAGGGGCACATTTACTCCCCATTTTAGATGTGGCTCATACATTTATAGAGTTTTATAATGATACCTCTTAACAATCAATTCTTTGGCTGCTTGCTTTGCATTGTGAAATTGAGTACATCAAGCATTTCTTCCAAGCAATTGTATTATTTTTTTCTATGCTCTTTTCTGCCAATGCCTGAAGCAGCTCGGACTGGAAGGATGAAAAAAAACTCAGGGTCTCAGTGGAATTCAGGACCCTTGCTCTATTGCGAAAAGTTGAATCTCTTTCAACTGGATCTTCGCATGCCTACTTGTCTTGCCTCAAGCCTACCATAAATCTGGCTAGCCTCCTGGGTTAGGTATTTTGGATATATTTAAAACAAAGGACAATAAAACACATAGTCCACGTAGTCTGCAGCTAAAAGACAGGTAGGGATAAGGAGGAGAGAAATGAAACATGACAGCCAGCTTTTCCTTCACCAGCTTCTCAGGGTGTCCAAGGACAGCCTGAGGCACGACAACATTATCATCCGTATTATGCTGATGCAGCAAAAAGCCCTTTTCTCAATCATGTGCCTGTTGTAAACTATCCCACACAGATCTTGCAACAACACAGAAAAGCAGAAGCTCATCAAACTGACACATGTAATTTGAAAATAACGTCCAGAATAAATTCACTCACACAAAATGAAGGAAGGGGGAGAACGTAGGACATTGATTGATGATTTAGTTCTATTACAGCAATATGGGTTGTACCAAGGAAAGTCACGTTGGGGTGTGGGGAGGGCAGCTGACATATTTTTCTGATTTAACCTCTGGGGAGGGGTTGGAGGCTTGGAGAACAGGAGGAGATAGAAGCTCTTTGCTCCAAACGTATTTTAACAAAGATTTTCTCATTGTAATGGATACTAGATGTTACTTCCTGTTGACATTAAGAGGCCTCGAATCCAGATTAAGGCTTGATCTTTAAGGATACTTAGCATCAAAGAGTTGGCCAGGATATGGAGTAATGGATATTTATACATGGCTGACAGCAGAGTAACCAAAAACCAAAACCCATTGCCGTGGAGTTGACTCATAGCAACCTTATAGGACAGAGTAGGACTGGAGGGTACGTTGGTAAAAATCATTTAGGAAAACAACTGGCATTACTTTTAAAGTTGAACATGCCCCCACCTTGTGGCCCAGCGACCCCACTCCTAAGCTTATATTCTGGAGAAATAATTCTTTTGTGTGCCAGGAGATACGTAAAAAAATGTTCATGGCCACTTTGTTCTTAAAGAAAAATGGGAAACAAGCAAATATCCATTATCATGAGAATTTATAAGTACATTGTGATATATTGCAGTAGGAAGAAAGAATGATCTATAGATACATGCAACAAAATGTATGAATCTTAGAAACAAATGCTAAGAAAGGAGATGAATGATTATATATAATATGATTCTAATAATATAACGCTCAGAAACAAGCCAAACTAAATCTATTACTTAGGAATATATCCATATATAAGAAAACTATACAGAAAGCAAAGGTCCCTGGGCAGCATAAACGGTTTGTGCTTGACTACTAACCTAAAGGTTGGTGGTTCAAATTCACCTAGCAGCACCATGGAAGAAAGGCCAGGTGATCTGCTTCCGCAAAGAGTACAGCCAAGAAAACCCTATGGAGCTCAGTTCTACTCTGTAACACATGGGGTCGCCATGAGTCAGAATCGACTCAATGGCAACGGGTTTTATAAAGAAAGCAAGAAGCGATCAACAAGACTCAGGATAGCGGTTACTTCCAGGTACTGGGGATGGGGGTAGGATGTAATCTAGGAGGAAGCTTCACTTTCTTAAGAAGGGTGGTAGGCTTAAAGGTTCATTTTATCGTTATGCATTAGAACTTCCATATACATCATATATTCTTTCATATGTATCAACTATTATAAGATAAAAACAACTCAACTGGCTCATGCCACATTCCCTGTTCAAATCCTCAGGCATTTTACCTAGATTCTGAACTAGCTCCTCCTTTCAGTCTCTCCCTTCTCTACGCCATCACACATAGCTGTTTGGTTAACCCAAAACCAAACTCACTGCTGTCGAGTCAACTCTGACTCATAGTGACCCTAAAGTGTGATCCTATAAGACAGAGCAGAACTGCCCCATAGGGTTTCCAGGGAGCGGCTGGTGGATAGCAGCCAAGCTCTTAATCACTGTGCCACCAGGGCTCGGCTGTTTGGTTAAACATCTCAAAATCCAGTTCTGTCATGTCACTACCCTCTCCAAAACTGTCAGTGGCTCCTCACTGCTTCTCAAATTAAGTAAAAAGTGTGTAACCTGCTATTCACATGCTCCATAAAATAGCACCTCTTTGGTTTTGCTGTATATCACTCCTGTTCACAAATCTTACCCTCCAGGCACACTGGATGGCTTAGTATTTCCTGGACTCACCTAGAATTTCCCCCTTTGCTTTTGTTTCTGCAATTTCCTTCAATGGAAAAATCTGCATGGCTAAGTAGAAATTATAGAATTGTTCAAGGCTGTATCATGTGCTACCTCATCATGAAAGCTATCCTAAGCCCCAAACCAGATAGCACCTTTCCTCCTCACAATCCCCGATGTTCTTTAGATAATGCTCATGGCCCTCGAGTTATGGTCATTCGGTCTATTTGCCTTAGTTCATTCATTCAGTGGTTTTTTAGTGCTCACTAGGTGCCACCATGTACTGGGCACTGGGATACAAGTCACAGGGCAATCAGTAAGTAAAGAGCAATCATAATACATGGAAGGACAAAAGGGAGTAAAGAATTAGACAAGTCTTCTAGGAGCCCTAGTGGCTCAGTGGTTAAGAGCTTGGCTGCTAACCAAAAGGTCTGCAGTTCAAATCCACCAGCTGCTCCTTGGAAAACCTATGGGACAGTTCTACTCTGTCCTGTAAGGACACTATGAGTTGGAATCAACCCCACGGCAATGGGTTCTAGGCAGAGGGAACAGCAAGTGCAAAGGCCCAGAGGCCAGACAAAATATGGACATGTGAGAAAATCCAGGTGGTTCAGCTTGAGGGAAGAGATGGGGCAGCAAAGACCCCCAAGGAGAGGGCGAGCCCTACTTGTAGCATCCCCTGCAGCTTTACAGCAAGGTGCTCTGCATTTAAGTGTACTCAGTACTAAAGTGTACAAGTGAAGTGTACAAGTGTTCAGTGCTGAACAAAATCAAAATTCACAATGTAGAATGCACTTTAGTCCCCTCCCACCACCGTTCCCCTAAACCCAAAACACCAAACCCATTGTCATTGTGTTGATTCCGATTTATAGCGACCCAGTCCCCCAAAATCTCACGTTGTGGCTGAGTATAATAAGAAGGAGAGGAGGTAGTCTAAGAATTAACAAAGACACTGTCTTTATGCGAAAAATAGTGTCAGCTATCTTGGTGGAGGGTATTTGCAGCTATGCTCTCCCTTTGGGAAACTCCCACATATAAATACCTTGCTAATTGAATGCTTAATTTACCCTAAGAAGCTTGTAGGGAGCAGACGGTAGTAGACTTGGAGGGTGAGAAGTACAGAATAATTTAAAACCAAATTTGGGTGTTTTGTGAACTGAAGCTCAACTGAGAAGCAAGATAAAATACCACAAAAGTTGTAAGGTATATCAGTACTTTCTTTACCAAATTTCCCTTCTGTTATGCAAAGTGAGACCACTGATAATACATGTTCACAGGATGATCATAGCAATAAACTTTTCCTGTTGAAACAGCAAATGTTTTGATACATACATATTTATCACCATAAAAAAAATTAACCTAAAAAAAGAAAAGGAATGGCACAACCATGGCTATTCATGAGATATTTATGAATAAAAGTTAAAATGAGATTATGTTAAAGTAATAACAAATATTTCTATATGGTGCTTTTTCATTTAGATTATTTCCCTTGCATTCTCTAATTAAGATTCTTGCCCGTTACAATGCTTTTGGTTGCTTGTGTACCAGTGGACCAAAGGAGAAAATGACGTTCTTTTGACTTATATTCTAATTTTTAATTAAAGTTCATATCACAGTATGATTGATGCTAGATCTGGTCTAATGTCTTTGAGACTGTGGACCAATGGGATATGTGCTGATTTGCATATCCTTCTTAGTTTTACTGAAATACCCAAATCATTTAGGCAATCACCCAGACAAGAAAATGTTGCCCAAGAGAAAACTAAGCTGGAGTGCAAGGACAGATGGAAGAAAAAAAAAAAGAAGAAGTCAAGTAGAGCTTGAAAAGGTGTTCCCTTACTGGTAAAATCATCAAGTGATGACAAACAGGGGGCATCTGTAAGTCCTCATGTGCTGTGTCTCATCCGTACAGTACAGGATGAGATTTACTAACTCCATCAGAAGAAGACTGGAAAGGAGGGGAGTCTGTTTGGCTGTGACGCTGGAGGTCTGGTGAGTAAGCTTCAGCAGTCCCAGGCTTATGGACGTAGAAGACACAGTAAAATATCTATGGAAAGATGTAGCCTAATCCCTAAACACATTGGTCTCTCTTCCTCCCTTGAAAAAGGTGGAAACTCTGGAATTTCTGTGGCCTGGCAAGTCTCAGCTAAGGTCTCCTTTGCTGTCTCCAGACTCCAAAATCAAGAGGGACAAGCTTGCAGGGAAGAGAAGTCATCATATTTGTGTATGTGTCTCTCAACTTGATGAATGAGGATGCCTGCCGCCCCCACCCTGAGAACTAATTCTCGTGTATAATTAAACATGGAAATGCTATGTTTTCCAATCAACAGCAAATCAGTCCCTGATACTTTGAATATCATTACTAGGAAGGCATGATTTCCCTGCAAATTGCTTTTCTGGTTGCATTTGAAGACTCCATCTCATAAGACTACACTGACAGACGGAAAGAAAAGGGCTGAGAAAGTTTGCTCTGACATGGGTCTCTAGCTTACCATGAGCCCTCCAGGTAGGCGTTGAGGCCTTTGCGAATGACATGGCCCAAGTAGCCATTTTTCTCAGCTACGTGCTTTGCCCATCTGAAAAGGAAAGAGAAAAGAAAATATCCCAACTGTGACAAATTAAATAATTGCCTTTTTCTTCATATGATCTCAATAAATCCCACTTGGGGAATATTTTGCTTGTTAGAATTTTTATAGAGCAACAAACTAGAAGTGAATGTTAAGCAAGATGCATTTTGACAGTCCTACATTCAGTGTTCTTTCTTGTGAATGCTTAGGAGTTGTCATTTATAGAAACAAAGTAGGTAAGGTACATACCAAAAAATACCCACCAAAATGAAAAAATATATTTTTTCCATAAATTCTAATACTCTCTACATTAAAACATGTTTACTGATTTATTATAAAGTTTCATCTATTTTGTTTCTGTCCCCTAATTTATCCTAAAGGTGTTTGCTAACAATGAACTAGTCTTCTATAATCTTGAGATTTACACCCACTAAAAGAATAGTGTAACAATGTATGACTAATGCACTAATAGAAGGAAGAAATAGAATGATTTAAAAAAATACTTGATTAATACAAAAGAAAAGCAAGAAGGAGAAAAGAGGAACAAAAACAGGACAGATGGAAAGTAGATAGAAAAATGGTATATTTAAAACCAAATATATCCATAATCACATTAAATGTAAATGGACTAAATACCCCCAATTAAAAGACTAAAATTGTTTCTCATAGTGGGAGATTTTAACACACCTCAACAAATTTCAAAGGATTGAAGTCATTCAGAATATGTTATCTGATCACAGTGGAATTAAGCTAGAAATCAATTAACAAAGAATAACAAGAAAATCCATGAAAAATATTGATATTCACATCAAGTCTTCTATTCAGTGATAAAAAGCCTTAAGTCAGTTCAAGTCAAGTTTTACCACTGAGTTCAGGTCAGGATGGGTTTGCTACCAAATGTTATAGGAAAAATAACTTTTTGGACAGGCAGACTATAGGTGTAAAGGTGGTCTAAAGCAGAAGTTTGCAAACTTTTTTCTGTAAAGGGCAAGATGGTAAATATTTTAAACTTTGCAGGCCACATATGGTCACTGCTGCATACTATTTTTGTTGGTTTGTTTTAAAACCCTTTAAAAATGTAAAGTCCTTCCGTGGTGCAAATGGCTACTGTGCTCAGTTGCTAACCAAAAGATTGGAGGTTCAAGTCTACCCAGAGGCACTTGGGAAGAAAGGCCTGGTGATTTACTTCTGAAAAATCAGCCATTGAAAACCCTATGGCGCATAGTTCTACTCTGTCGCACATGGGGCCGTCATGAATCAGAATTGACTCAATGGCAACTGGTTTGCTTTTTGTCTAAAAATGTAAAACAATTCTTAGCGCATGGGGGCATACAATACAGGCAACAGGTCATATTTGGTCCATGGACCATAGTTTGCCAATCCCCATGAGACATATTCAGAAATGCAAGGCCTCAGAAATGTGCCTCCTGTTCACGGTTCTTGAGGAAGCTACTGTACAATATGCTCTACCAAAATGTAGAAGTAAATCCAGAAAGAGGAGGAAATGGTTGAGCAAAGAGGAGAACCAACTCCAGGCAAAGATAAAGGGAAAAGAACCCTGACAATGATGATGAAGTTAATCCCAGTATGACAGCTCTGCCCTGGACAAAGAAAAACTCCAGGAGAGATGCCTCCAAAAAGATTAAATCGATAGAATACCTGATGGGTCTGAACATATTGAGAGGAAATTTAGACAACTGGAGGAGAATTTGGACATCAAGTACATAGAAAAGGATAAGTACATAGAGAGTTAATCAAATAAACAATAAAAATAATTAGTATTCCATAGAGAACGAAAAGTTGTGCAGGAAAGAAAAAGTAGCCATAGCATACTACCAGGCTCAGCTGGGAATAGCATTTACATGGTTGCAATAATATAAAATTTGATACCAATCTAACCAAAAGTATGATATGCTTATTGGGAAGATGAGAGACAGGTAGGAAGTATGAACGTGTGTGATAGTAGAGGTGGCAAAGTGAAAGAGAACTATTTATCTTCCACAGTGGAACATCATTAAACAATGCTCCCTGGGTGGCACGGTTTGTGCTTGGCTACCAATTGAAGGGGTGGTGGTTTGAACCCACTCAGCAGGGCCCTGGAAGAAAGGTCTGGCGATCTGCTTTCATAAAGATTGTTGTTAGATGCTGTTGAGTCACAACTCATAGTGACCCCATGTAACAAAGTAGAACTGCTCTGTAGGGTTTTCTAGGCTGTTTAAGGGATCAGATCATCAGGTCTTTTCTCCTGTGGAACTGATGGATGGGTTCAGACTGCCAACCTTTTTGTTAGTAGCTGAGCACTTAACCATTGTACCACCAAGGCTCCTTTTGTAAGGATTACAACCAAGAAAACCCTACGGAGCTCAGTTTTATGTAACACATGGGGTTGCCATGAGTCAGAATCATCTCAACGGTAATGTTTCTGGTATGATGAAGATACCAAGAAATAGTCCTATAAGAACAGTATTTACAGATAGAGGTAAATAAAAAAAGACATAATTAAAAGACAAAAGTGATTTACTGAAGGGAGCAGGAAATAGAGGCGAAACGGGTAGTTGGTAGGAGCCCTGGTGGCACTGTGGTTAAGCATCTGGCTGCTAACCAAAAGGCTGGCAGTTCAAATTACCAGTCGCTCCTTGGAAGCCTTATGGGGAAGTTCTACTCCATCCTACAGGATCGCTATGAGTCAGAATTGACTCGACAGCAGTGGGTTTTTGTTTTGGGGCAGTTGTGGACAGAGAGTTCCTGTTTTTCCTGATTACCTTTATCAGACCATTTGGATCTTTAAACTGTGTGCATGTTCTGACTGATAAAAATAAAACCTAAATTTTTTTAATAGGCAAAAACAAGAAGAAGGAGGAATTCCATTTTCTCAGGCATAGTTAATATAGTATATCACTTCTCCTTCGTAGGTAACATGTGACAGGTTCTTACACAACAGCTTTCTCGGGATCTCTAGGGAACGTCTCCAGGTTGCCAGTGATATAGTAGAGAGAACACCACAAGGTCCCTTCGATGTGTCCGCCTTGTGCTGCTTTATGGAAATATTCACCAGCGAGAGTCTGTAAAGAGAGATTAAAAAACGCCACTCGAATTAGTGAGGAGTTCTCCTGCCCAGTCTGGTTTCATGGGAGCCGGGATGGTGAGGTACTTTAAGATAGCAACACCACAGGCTTCTAACTTCTGATACCTTTAAGAAAAGCAAGTCAAACAAGAGTTCAGGAAAAAAAAACACCCCTTTGCAGAAGACAGCCTCTGGGAAGTGGTGACCTTGCCCCAGCTGTTCTGTTGATTAAGTTTACCCAATAAATAAGACAACACCTTAAGTACCACTCTTGGTGCTATCTCACTGATCCTCGCATAATCCCGACCAGCTAGATACAGAACTCTATCATGTCACATCAGGTGAAAATTCAGGCATTTGCTTTCCTAACTTTGCTTAATACCTTTCTTCAAACTCATGCACAAAAATGACACATCCAGTAGGAAGGTGAGAATTAGAAAATGACAATAGAAAAAAATCCATGCTCGCAGATGTGTGGGAGGATCACCAGACATTTGCAATGTATAAAAATACACAACCTCATAATCAGAGAGAGGTAGGAGGGAAAATAAAGCAAACACTTAGACGGGCATACTTTCCATCAATTACTATTCTTTTCTGAAGCAGTTAACTGTCGTTTTTAAAAGCGTGGGCTTGGAGTGAGACAGGCTTGGGTTCAAATCCTAGCTCTGCTCCTTACTAGCTGTGTGACCTTGGACATGTTATTTAATTTCTCCAAACCTCATTGTCTTCAACTGAAAAATGTGGTTTCTGATTGTACCTAGCATGAGAGGTGGCTGCAAAGATTAAATGAGAGAATATATTCTCAAGGCTTAGCACCGTGCTTCACGAAGAATAATCTTCCAATCCCCATGCTCCTAACCTAATGCTGCCACAGTCTTGCCATCTCAATAAGTGTCAGACACCCTGGCGTCATCCCTGACTGCTCCCACACATGCAATCCATCAGCCAATCCTGTCACCTCAAGCTCCAAAAAATACCCAGCATCCAATCACCTCTCAGCCCCTCCACTGATGTCTCCCTGGCCTCATCCACCATCCTCTCTCACTTGGATTCAAAGTATTAAGACCCCAGCTCCCACCCTTGCCTCCACTCAACCCTAGTCTCCATGAGAATCTAGTGGGAGACTTTTTAAACATAGCATATCATTTCCCTGTTCAAAACTGTCCAACGGCTTCCTAGCTCCCTTAGAGTAAAAGCACAGTCCCCACATGACCTGGTCCTGCTACCTCTGACATTGTCTTCCTGCCCCTTCCCCTCACTCCTCCCCTCCTCTCCTGCCATTCTGGCCCCCTACTGTTCCTCAAACAAGTCAAGCCTGTTTCTGTCTCATGGGGATAGGGGGAGGTTTTGCTTTGGCTGTTCTTTCCTTCTAGAAGGTTCTTCCACCACATATCTGCAAGGCTTGCTTCCACACTTCCTGTAGGAGCCTGTACAATGTCACTATATCAGAGTGGCATTTTCTGATGTCCTTTATAAGACAGCATCCTCCAATCTCCACCCTCCCTGTCCTTCTTACCCTGTTTTATTTCATCCCATAACACTTATCACCACCTGCCCTTATATCATATATGTATTTGTTTATTGTCTTTCTCCCCCACTAGAATGTAAGCTTCATATCTAGTTTGTCTGCTGCTGTATCCCCAGTGTCTAGAACAGTGCCTGGCACAGGATGGCGTCAATAAATTCACTGACTTAATTCAATAAATCTTGTTGAACATAATGGTGCTCTGATTATTATTACTACCATCAATATTATTATCAATAACACAGACTTCCATTTCACACCTGGGTTCAGGTCTTGACTCCACCAAGTGTATGACTGAGTAAATAACTGCTCACAGCCTAGGTTGCTTATCCTGTAAAATGGACATAATAATAGTAGATATCACAGAGGATGGTTAGGACTAAACAAGACGGTGCTAAACAAGACCGTGCATATAAAGTGCTTTGTACAGTGTCTGGCACAAAGGAAATGCTCCATAAATACTACATCTTGTCATCGTTGCTTTCATTATTATTAAATCTGGTCTCAGATCAGGCAACCCTATCTGGATCTAGCTCTTTGCTTCTTGTAAGATCAGTCTCGGCAGCATCTCTTGATCAAATAGACAAGGCTCATTCTCACCTTGTTATTCCCCCTCCTCCCTTCAGTTCAAGCGTTCCTCTGCCAAGAAGCCTTCCTGACTCTTTGGTCTTCACCATTTCCCCTTCTCTGAACTCTGTCTGGGTCACGCCATTTACCACACACGTGGTACTTGATTAAATGCCGTCTTTGCGCTTCACTGACTTGTCTTTCCTAACTGTACCTTTGAGTTCCTTGAAGATGATGGATCTGTGTCTTGGATTGTGTTTGTACCACCCACGGTGCCTAGTTTAGGTTGGGCACACAGTATACCTTCCACCAATGCCTAATGGTTGAGAGACTGACTAGAAGCTGCTGAGCTGGTCTCAAGTCCTACTCACTTGATTCCTTCCAGGGACGCCTGGGAAAATGCCATCTAAATACAGGACTCCAAGATTGTACGATGCATCTGGATTCCCCATTTCTTCTGCTTTTAACCAGTACTTTGCTGCTTTGGCATAATTTTTCTTGAATTGGTGGTAATACCATCCCAGGCCATTGACTGCCTGATGCAATCCCTGAATTTTAGAAAAACAAGAAAAACGTTATTATTCTAAAGAAATGAAATCTAAAGAGACTCTGGGAGCAATTGTAAAAACACTCTGCCTGAGTCTAAGCAAAACCTTCCTTTTCTCTTTTTCAGGGCAGATGGCAATAAAGAAAAGCTAAGTGCTAGAAAACAGGAGCATGCCTCAGAGTCTTCCCATGTGGACTTCATTCTGCTGCTGCTGGGATTTCGGTCCCAGCTCACCAGTGATGCTGGCCTTCAGATCATCACTCAGTCCGATGGGCTCTTCTGCAGTCCCTTGTCTCCAAAAGGCTCCTCAGCGCCTGTGGTATCAACAGCGCCCTTGAAATTCACAAGCGCTCAACTGTGACAGGAGGCCTGAAGACGGCCCTGGCCAGGATGGTTTCTAGGTGACCTGCCTGCCCATCTGTCGATTACTCTGCCCTGAATGTACTTTAGATGAAGGTTTACAGAACAAACTAGCTTCTCATTAAATAGTTAGCACACATATTGTTTTATGACAATGGTTAACAACCCCACGACACATCAACACTCTCCCTTCTCAAC